CCCACAGACCCCATAGTGACCACCAGTACCAACCCCGATACCCCCCATAGACCCCACACTGACCACCACTACCAACCCTGATACCTCCCCATAGACCCCACACTGACCACCAGTACCAACCCTGATACCCCCCACTGACCCCTCACTGACCACCAGTACCAACCCTGATACCCCCCAACAGACCCCACACTGACCACCAGTACCAACCCCGATATCCCCCCCACAGACCCCATAGTGACCACCAGTACCAACCCCGATACCCCCCCATAGACCCCACACTGACCTGTCTCTGTCTTACCCACTGCATGCCAAACTAGTTCACTCCAAGTCCTACCAACCCAAGGCAGGATAAGATCCATACAGCTCTGAGGGTCTATGCACCAAAGCCCCCATAACCCACCCCCCATACCACCCTCTCACCTCCCATAGATCCAACCCAACACCCATAACCCTCCACAGCTCACAGCCCCCAAACCAGAATCCCAATCAATACTAACCTTCAGGATGTGAGGTAACAGCTTCTAGACCCTCGAATTGTGCTGGAACATTCACACTGTTCCCACAGCATGGCCTCAGACCCATCACTAACGTTATACTACCAACCATCCCAGCATGCATCATGCTGAAGCCAGCAGATTAAACCCTGACAGAGCAAACTTTTTCTTATCAATTGCAGGGGCAGGGAATGGCAGGTCAGGATGCAGGGGGCAGGGGGCAGGGGGCAGGGGCAAAGAGGTGAGTCAGGCACAGCAGTGGGTCAGGGAGCAGGGGTCAGGAGGCAGAGGGTAGGTTGGGGAGCAAGTGGAAGTAAGTGGGTTAGGGAGGAAGGAGAGGGTCAGGGCGCATGGGGTCAGTCAGTGGCGGGGTTGTGGTCAGGGTCAGGGAGCTTTGGGTCTCATGTGATTTGGGGTTTGGTGAGTTTGAGGTGGGTTCATAAAACAGAATATAGCAGCAGCGTGCACACACACATATACACACTCACACTCACACACTCTCTCACACACACATACACTCACTCACACACACACACACACTCTCACAAACAGGCACACACACATTCACAGGCGCGCACACACACACACACACACACACACACACACACACACACACACACAC